CCCAGGTCTCAGCGGTGGCCGGGAGAGCTTTCGCACAACTAAAACTTGTGCGCCAGCTGCGCCCGTACCTTGAGAAGCCAGATCTGGCCACGGTGGTACATGCTCTTGTCACATCCCGGCTGGATTACTGCAACGCACTCTACGTGGGGTTGCCTTTGAAGACTTCTCAGAAACTACAACTAGTCCAGCGAGAAGCAGCCAGATTGCTCACCGGAGCGACGTACAGGGAGCATACAACCCCCCTGTTGCGTCAGCTCCACTGGCTGCCGATCCAATTCCGAGCACAATTCAAAGTGCTGGTTTTGACCTACAAAACCCTATACGGTTCCGGCCCAGTGTATTTGTCCAAACGGATCTCCCTCTACGTCCCACCTCGAAGCTTAAGATCTTCTGGGGAGGCCCTGCTCTCGACCCCGCCATTGTCACAAGTGAGGCTGGCGGGGACGAGGAGCAGGGCCTTCTCAGTGGTGGCCCCCCACCTGTGGAACTCACTCCCTGGGGAGATTAGGTCATCATCTTCCCTTTTGGCGTTCAGGAAAAAACTGAAGACCTGGATCTGGGATCAAGCCTTTGGTCATTGACAGCTAACTGAAGGATCTGATGATAGACAAGGACAAATGAAATGGAATGGATATATTGACTCTGAACCCTGAGCATGAGACTGTTTTATTGTTTTATTATGTACTGATGTTTTAATTAATTGTTGAATTGTTGTATTTTGTATTGCTTGTGAATTGCCTTGGGCATCTAATTGTGCCCCCACTGTAAGCCGCCCTGAGTCCCCCCCGGGGTGAGAAGGGCGGGGTATAAGTAAATGAAATAAATAAATAAAAAATAAATATACTGCAGAATTAATCCAGTTTGACTCCATAAAATACAATACTGGACGTTATGATTTGGTGAGGCACTAGAATTCTTTGGCAGAGAAGACTGCAATCCTTGTAAAACTGCAGCTCCAATAATTCCATAACATTGAGCCATTGCAGTTGAAGTGGTGTCAAACTGCATTAATTCTACAGTGTAGACCAGATGTGGACAAACTTCGGCCCTTCAGGTGTTTTGGACTACAATTCCCACAATTCCTAACAGCCTACCGGCTGTTAGGAATTGTGGGAATTATAGTCCAAAACACCTGGAGGGCTGAAGTTTGCCCATGCCTGGTGTAGATGCACCTTATGATTTGCCCAAGGTCAGCCATTGGATTTCCATGGCTAAGCATCGATTCAAACTCTGGTCTCAAACCACTGCAGTATACTGGCTGCCATCGGACCCATACTAGTTGACTATCAAGAAGCTTTAGCTGTTTATGCCCATTTCTGAGAAAGAAAGATTGCATTCATATATTCTAAATTTGAGTGGGACGAGCTGATGTTCTCCAGGCTGTTTTAGACTACAGTTCCCAACAGTCTTAGCCAAAAGTGAGAAAGAACTATTAATTACACTTCTTATGTCCCCACATGAGAAGCTGGAGCTGACAGACGGGAGCTCACCCTGCCCCCCAAATTCGAACTGCCTACCTTTCGGTCAGCAGTCCTGCCAACACAAGGGTTTACACAATCTGCTCCTAACAATGGATTCAAACTGCAGGAAAAGATATTCTACCTAAACCTTGGGAAGGACTTCTTGATGGTAAGAGCTGTTTGGCAGTGGAATATGTTGCCTTGCAGTGTGATGGGGTCTCCTTCTCTGGAGGTTTTTAAGCAGGGGCTGGATGACCATCTGTCAGGAGATTTTTCTGTATGGCAGAAGAGGGTTGGACTGGATGGCCTTTGGGGTCTCTTCCAACTCTTGGATTAGACTATGTAACACGAGTTGGTTTTTTTTTGTGGGTTATAAATATCATTTCCTAATTGGTTCTATCATAAAAATATGGAAAAGGTTTATTAAACTGCAAAAACTTTGTTTTTGCTGGACATCCTACAGCACATTTGGCTCTAGTTTTTCGATGAATATCGAGTCTCAACCAATACAACATAGCGTGTGGCAGCCACAAAAACGAAGTTTCTGGGGTAGAACAACTATGGTACTTTCAAAGTAAGTACTGCACAATTAAACAGGAAATAACACTTTCAAACCAGAAAGAGATGTTTTTTCAAATTTGGTTTCATAGAGTTATAAGTCTATAGAGAGATTTTCACAGCCTCTTGAGATGGGAAAGCCTCTGTTCTCAATCCTAGAGTGCGTTTCCCATGAAGGAAACTGCATAAAAATATATGTATTTATTGTTTACGGCATTTGTAGCCCGCCTTTCTCAGCCTTGCGACGACTTAAGGCGGCTCACAGAAATAGCAATTTTAGTGCCATACATTAATAAAAATACCTCTAGAACATGGCCATATAGCCCGAAAACAACCCAATTCGGAAAAATGTTGCGCTTGCAGAGCTCAGGCGGTGTTGTATTTCGGTGTCAATGTTGACTTTGGTGGAGAGGTGGCTGCCAAG